GGTTGGGGGTCTCGGCAGCTGCAGAGTGGAGGGGCTTGGGGGGCTCTGAGCATCCCGGGGGGGACACAGGGTGGTCCCCGGGGAGCGGCAGCGCGGGGGTTAACCCAGCGCTGGGTTTGGAGACCTGGGGCTGCAGCCCCCGGGGAGGAAGGATTTAATTTCCAAAAGGAAAAGGGTTCCGCTTGGTTTTGATATGTTTTCATTTATTTCATTTGTAAAATTGTAGCTTTAAAAATCGATCTATTCATTGGATTTATTTTTATTGATTAACTTTCTTAATTCTTAAATTCTTAAATTTTTAAAATTTAATTTTAAATTTAATTTTGAAAATTTCGATTTTTAATTTTTTTTAATATTTTTTTTTTCCTGGACTTTGGGGGACCGAACCATCCCTCAGACCTACTCCACGTCGAGGACAAAAAACCCCTATTTTTCTTTTGCCCACCACCCCTCACGGGCTGACTCCAAAAGACCTTTTCCCCCGGGCACCCTCCGGATGCCGAACCGGCCGCTCTCAGCATCCCTCCCCGCTCTCCAATTCAAAGGGCCTTTTCCCCCGGGCACCCTCTGGATGCCGAACCGGCCCCTCTCAGCATCCCTCCCCGCTCTCCAATTCAGCATTTTCCAGCCCATTTCCGAATTATTTATGACGCTTATGATTATAATTATAATTTTTGGGTTGTTTTTTTTTTTTGGCCCCCTTCTTTTTTTTTAAATTTGCACCTATGGACATGTGGTGTAGAGGGGTGAGAGGGTTGACTTTTTTGGCCATGGTGGACCTCGCCGGGGCGGCGCGGGGTCTCCGTTAGATCTCGTTGTGCTCGCTGAGGCCGCCGGGAATGTCGTACTCACTGGAGCGGGGCGACATGCCCAGGTACTGCTTCAGGAACTCGCTAAACCTCTTCTGGTTGTTCCACTTCCTCGCCGACTTGCGGACCCCGATGAAGCCCCCGTAACGCTTCTGCACCCCCCGGCCCGTCGGCGCCGGCCACGAGCCGCGGCGCGTCCCCCGGGGGAAACCTCCCAGGCGTCGGGAAATGTCCTCGGGTGGCTGAGGGAAGGCCCCCGGCGCCCCTTCCTCGTCTTCCTCTTGGGCTTCCCGGCGCCCCAACGGCTGGATGACCTGCGGTGGGTTCCCCGGCACCACCTCGGCCCAGGGGTCTCCGGCGTCCGGCAGGTCGCGGGGACGGGGGGCGGCTCGGCCGGCGGCGGCGGCGCACAGCTCCCAGGTGGCCCGTGGCACGGCTTCGCCTTCACACTCCAGAATGCAGACCTGAGGGGGAGACACGGGGATGGGACCCTCAGGTGGGTTTGGGGCCTCCGGCAGCACCCGGTGGTTGTACCCCAAGTTCCAGGTGCTTGGGCAACCCCCTGATTCCACCTGTTGGAGGACACTCATGGAAAGGGGCCAGCAGCTCATTGGCCCTTGCCTGGCCTCACTCGGTTGAGGTGTCCTCTCCCAAAGTTCTTTAAGTTCTTTACTGTGAGGGTGGTGGAGCACTGGAACAGGTTGCCCAGGGAGGTGGTTGAGGCCCCATCCCTGGAGATATTCAAGGAGAGGCTCGACGAGGCCCTGGGCAACCTGGTCTAGTTGGGGGTGTCCCTGCTGACTGTGGGGAGGTCGGACTAGATGACCTTGAAGGTCCCTTCCAACCCAGATGATTCTATGATTCTAAAACCCGTTCCTGGGCTCCCAGAGGTGGTGGTGGTGGTGGTGGAGATGCTGGGGAGCGACGACAGCTCCTCAGCATCCTTCTCCCAGCCCTCCCTAGACAGGCTCTGCTCCACACTGGACACACTCCACACTTCCCCATTGACATCCATGCTCCCACAGCCCTGTGCTCCCCATTGCTGGGTCCTTCAGCTGCAAAAAAGCCTCCAAAATCACCAAGTCATGGGACAACAGAGGTGGGAAAGGACATCTGGCATGTGCCCATGGCATGTCCTGGCACCTGGGGTTGCTCCTCCCCAGGGGCAAGGCTTCTCTGTTCTCGTTGAACTTCATGAGGTTCCTACCAGCCCATTTCTCCAGCCTGGCGAGGTTCCTCTGGATGGCAGCACGACCCCAGGGAGTACCACCCACGTCTCCCAACCCTGCATCCTCTGCTAATTGCTGATCTGCATCTGCCACATCGTCCCGGCCATTAATGAAGATGTCAAGGTCTCCCAGGTTTCAGTTCACCTCACTGCCCGTTTATCTACCCTGTGCCTCCGCAGCTTGTCCACGAGGACGTCAAAGGAGATGATGTCAAAGCCTGATGAAAGTCACGTCAGGCTGGTCGTCTCGCTGCAGAAAGCTGTCAGGTTGGTCAAGCACGATTTCCCCTTCGTAAATCCATGCCGGCTGCTCTCGATGACCTTCTCGTCCTTCATACGTTTGGATGATGTGCTCCACCACCTCCCCAAGGACTGAGGTGAGGCCGACCAGCCATAGCTTTCCAGATCCTCCTTCATGCCTTCCTCAAAGACATCTGCCTCCTCCCAGCCCCCAGGAACCTGCCTCCGATTGTCACGTCCCTTCAAAGGCCATCAAGAGCATCCTCACCAAGAGATACCATTTGGCTTCCTCGGCACCCATGGGTGCATCCCACCACATTTGTGTCTCATCCCTTTCCAAGAGATCTCATCCACCAGGGCAGGACACAGACCCAGAACTGCTGTGGGGTGATAGCCCTAAGTGGGCTGGTACGACCAAAACCAGCACCCAGGAGAAACCATCCAGGACAAAATCATAGAAGAACCAAACGAAATAAATACCCAAAGAAACCAGGGCTGGAGGGCCCAGAAGAGAAGGGTTGTCTTCCCTCACATTGAAGTGTCTCCATCCCAGTGTTAGCTTCATGGTGGGCTCTTTTAAATGCTTTATACCACCTGGGGGACCCCATGTTGAAGCACGTTGGCCTGTCTCATTGCTACAGGCCATCTGCAAGACCAAAACCCTTACAAAGACTCTCTTCATGGTGGATTCATTGACTTTGCCAAGTGGGAGGTGCTACGAGTCCCAGCGTGGTGTCTTAGGGCTGCAGATCAAGCAGGTGGCTCTCCAGCAACTGGCTATTGCCATCCCGAGGGCAGCCAGGCTCTTCAGACAAAAAGACAAAAGAAAAACAGTTGTCCCAAAGTGAGGTGGTGACCAGGGTCTTGTAGGCCAGGACACCTGTGAGGGTCCTTGCGGAGACACTGTGGGCTTCCTGCGCTGAACCAAGATCCTGTCCTTGGATCTCCAGGGCTTTGGCAGGGTCTACAGCTGAGGGACAGTGTCCTGGAAGTGGCCCAAGTTGGCGATGAAAGGTGATGGATCACATGTAGGTAACAGCTCGAGAGGCTTCAAGAGGAATTACCCCAGGCATCAGGCTGAAGACCACCAGTGGTACAATCACCCATCCACAAAGCAGCACCATGAAAATCCCAGGGTCCATGGCTATCGGGCTGGGCTCTTAATTCACATGGAGATGGCTTCTGCTCACAGTGTTTTGGGCGTCCTCAGTGAACACTGGCCAGTGCTCCTCCACCTCCAGCGCCAAAACTACCTGGAGAGGTTCTATCCAATCTTCTGTTGGCATTAACGAAGCCACCGTGGGTTTGCACCACCCCTAGATGTCTCTAGGGACCAGGAGGTAGATGATTCATCCACATCTTGAAGACCAGCTCCACCAGCTGGTGCCTGGCCTGGCAGCTCTGATGACGGTGCAGGTGTGCCTGTAACTTCAGGTGCATCTTCTACTTCTACCCCTGAAGAATGGATCGGCCACGTTGCTGACACAGCTTCCTTGGCCATTGCTTTGGAAATGGTGGAGGGTTGTATCAAATCCCACCACGATGCTTCTTCCAGCTGAAACTGAGCCTCAAAACCCCCCGGGTTCCTCTGCTTCTGGTTCAAACCACTTTTGCTTTGAGACATAACCTTGCATGGGACCCAAGAGCCACCAACCATCCCATCTCCTCTCCACCTTGCTGCCCAGGGAAAACAGAGCAAAATGCAGCTCCAGAAGCAGGACCGGGGGCAGGAAGGGGGGGTTCCTGCAGAGACGCCGGTGCCTTCAGACTGAAAAACTGCATTTTTGGGTAAAACCAGGGAGATAGTACCCCAAAACTTGGTGGCAACGACGTGTGACTGCAGGAGGCTTTGCCAGCAAGGGGGTGGCACCGGGGTGGCCCCAGCATCTCCACGGAGCCCCTGGAAGTCGCTGGTCCCACCTGGTTTTGGGATGGGGGATGCATATCTCCCAGCCCTGGGGACTTCCCGAGCTGCTGGCTCCTTTCAGGTGGGTGTCTCAACCCGCCGTGATTAATCGTCGTTAATAAATAGGCGAG